CTCTTTTCTATCTCAAAGACACCACTTTTATAGCTTGTCTTCTGTGGCACAAACACACATGGGGTCATATCAGAATGCCGAAATGCATGCTTTTTGAGTAAATGAGTTTTTGAGTTGCAAAACTGCTTCACACTCTAAGTAAAACCATTCATTTGAGAGCTATAAGCAACCTCATTATTTAAACCAAATGGTGCAATTTACAGAACAAATATTATTTTGCTGCTCTGTTCTACAAATAAGAAACCCAAGGACAAGAGAGATCAGTGTCCAATACCACCTAAAACTGATGGACGAGCTGGACCAAGAGTTCAGTGCTTAAATCCTAGCTCAACGTTCTTTTGGTCAAAATTCACTGTGGTTCAAATGTGGAGCATTTTTTAAGGTAATAATCTCAATGACATATGATATTCACACTTAGTAATGCTGCTGGAAAGAATGCATCAGCCCATAAAGACGGCATGCTCCATTCAGTTATCACTAGGGTAATATTTACTGAGCACCCACTCAGAGTGAGATTCTGAAGACATGAAGGAACTCATTTCTGATTGTTTGGTGGTCATGGTCTACCAGCTGAGATAAGATAGACACTGAACAGCTAGTTATACAGTGCAGTGTTTAATGTAACCTGAACCAGGGCAAATGTAAAGCTTCTGAGGACCGTGAAATCAGTAGCACTTAAAGATGTTCAAGAAACAGGATGTAAAGAAAGGAGGTGAAAACAAGACTCTCAGATTCTTGATTTCAAATATTAAAGTTATCTGACTAGATATAAAAATATTTAATGTGGTGTGAATTTTCTACCCTTCGGTCACACTGATGTCCTTTTGGTGTCAGTTACACTGATGCCTGTGCTGTCCCAGTACATGCTACACCTGCTTCTACCATGAGGCCTTGGCATGTATGGTTCTCTGTGCCTACAGGACTCTTCCTACTTATCAACGGAGCTGACACTCTTACTTCTTTGGCTTTTCTATTTAAATATCATCTAGATATACTATACCATATTGTAGTATAATTATGTCATAAGTTTGAATGTGGTGGATTTATCTAAATAATTTGTTTTTGCACAGATGTCACAGCCACGCTGACTGGGAAGGTAACAGGATGACAAATTCTAAAAGGTTCATTATATAAAAGATGAGCCTCACTCTTCCCTGATATGGGAGGGCATTTCTTGCCGATGCCAGTATCTGTAGCTTAGCTGACCTGAGAATGGATGGCTGTGGCCATGTATGAAACGAGAGTGCATCATTGACCCAGCCATCAGTCAGGTCCACAGATATGACCAGTAGAGTCCCTGCCTCAGTAACCATGCTGCCCGGTGAGCAATCAGTGAACACACGTTCTAGGAAATGCCTGGTCAGCAATGCTCAGTTATGACAAAAGCACATAACTGGTACTTTTTATAGTGATCTTCATAAAGGTGATAGAGAAATATAAGCAACTTGTCAAAATTTCAGAGTACAAAGTCTCTCTAAAAAACCCGATTCAGAAACAGAAAAGGTAAAAAAGTACTATTCAGCAAATTAATTTTTAAAACCTATGTGTTTAGAGAAAAAGTTTATTTTCACAGCTTTAATTCAAGCAGCTACATGCTTCAAAAGCTAACACTGGTTTAAAATTCAGATTGCATCTACACTGAGGCACTAACTACACAGAGACAGTTCCAAGCTTTTGTCTATACCTTGAGTTAAATGGACCAAGCCCATTATCTATAGTCAGCCCCATATGACATACGTTCTTTCTGGCAGAACAAATTTATGTTTTAGCTGACAAGATTAACTACAGTGCTTCCTATAAAGCTCATCATATCTTCAACTAGCTTATCTATTCCATTAGACAATGATTTGCCTCGCTGACCTGAACCACTGAGCCGAGCCTCTCTGGCAGTAAAAAATCAGACTTTAACAAAAGAGATGAGCGCTGTAAGCACAAGCCCTGTACATTCAGAAGAGCAACAAATACTCAAATTGGGAAATCATGGATTCCCATGTATCACTATTACAAATCTTGCTTCTGCCAAAAGCAGTTACTGCCCTGTTCTCTTTAATGATTCTCAATTGACTCTTGTCCATTGAAAGAGTCTAGGATAATCAATATACGATTGAGAATGGTATGAGTGGCTTTGGTTTCTTCAGTAGTGTACATTTATTGGCATCCAATCAGATAATAAAGGTTTACAACATATCATTTTGATAATTTCTATGAGGCCTTAAAGTAAAAAGTTTCTCAGTCTTTCTTTAAAGAACTCTTAAAAAACTTGGTAGTGTGGCTGCACCTAGTTATGAGAAGCTGAAAAATGCAAAAGACCAATGAGAAATCTGTGCCCTCTGCCTAATTTGGTTTTGAACCTGAAATTGCTCTAAAAAATAAAGTCTACTTTAAAGAAATCCAGTCAACCCAGGTGTCCTAAGTTTGATAGATGAGAAAAAAAAATGTTCTTACCACTTGCTAACTACCATAGTTTCTACAGCAATTTTAGTTCAGGTCAAAAGAGTACGATGCTTTCATGTCAACTTTATGAATTACCAAATATAGTAAAAGTCAATTAAAATTTAGATATGGGAAACCAACTAGATCCAATAAAGAAGAAAAAGAAAATAGATATGCTCATAATTTTTGTACTTAAGCTAAGCCATTCTTCTCATTTGAAGGGTTCCTTTGAACACAACAATATAATTCAAGATTTCTACATCCAATGTTATGGCATGTATCAAGGTGCACCCCTCCCTCCAGCCTTACATGGTCATGGGGGTGGTTTAAGATGGCTGCATTAGGGTGTGTGAATGTGGATTAAAGGTGAGATACTGGAATTAATGAGTGGATAATGGAAGCCCCATCCTGGTTGGGGGTGACATCAATCAACTGCCTTACAGCCTAGATGCAATATAAAAGGAAAGAGAAAAGGCTTCTGCATGCTGCCTTCTCCTACCATGAACCAATTCTTCTCTGTGATGTCCCTCTGTTATACCACCCTGCCTTAGAGCCAGCCAACCATGGGCTGAAACCTCTACAAACTGTGAGCTGAAACAGACACTTCCTTCTTCAACTTCGAGTATCAGGTAGCTTGTTTCAGCAATCAGACACAAATTATAGTGATAATCTTCCCCATTTTGCTATATTTTCCTTTTAGTTTCAACAAAAATCTCAAAAAGTGATTTATATTTCTTCTGATTCTAAGAAAAAAATAGACTCTTTTATATAGCACTATTTTATCATAAGCAAGGAGGTGTTAGAGTACCAGAATAGGAAAATATTTATAAAAAGAGATTGATTTAAATATAAAATATAGACAAGTTAAAGAGTTCTCATTAAAAGTCATAATAAGAATTTTTCTAGTGGCACAAAGCTGATTTAATTCAAATTACTTTTAAAATTATTTATGCATGTTACCTTTTAAATTATTTATACTAGTATAAAAATAGTGCAATAGGGCTGGGGATTTAGCTCAGCGGCATAAGTGCCTGCCTTGCAAGCAGGCAGACATGAGTTCGATCCCTGGTACCCATAAAAAGGAAAAAGACAAAAAAAAATAGTGCAATATTTGAATATTTCTAAAAGGTCCAAAATATTTTTTTCTTGAGTTCTCAGAACTGATGAATATAAGGATAGTATAAATATTTTTTTAAAACTTTTTTTTTTGAATTGCAGGCTTTTTTAGAATTTGTGATTTTTTGCTGACAAAAATTTCTTATAGTTCATATTTTTCATAATGTCTTTCCATGAAAAAGTATTTTACCTATGACTCTATTAAAGGATGTTATAATTGTCCTAAAATGGGGCTATCTTTCCCCTCTTAGTCCCTAAGTTGATTTTTCTGAACTGCATGGGTTTTCTTAAACAGAATTATGAGATAGAAGAAGGTTCTCTTCTAAAGAAGGAGCAACATGGAATTTTGATTTCAGGACAAGTAGGAGCCTTGGTAGCTTCGCATTCTGGTAAGATCTTCTCTCTACACCTCTAAAATACATTTTCTTTGGTTTGAAAGAGGGATACTAGAAATCAGTGGGAGAAAGTGTAAGAAAGAAGAAAAATGGTAATAAAAATGGTAGAAAAATGCTAAGGTTAAAAGAGAAAGTATTCCTAAGAATATGTGAAAAGGTATTATGAGTTTGTTCACAAGCAAAGAGAATCACTGCTTTTGTCCTTCTTTCAAAGACAGATGTTTTCTTTTACTTCTCTTCAAGAAAAGCTGGAATTATCCAAATAGTGATCAAGTTTTAGAGAAATGTTAAATAATATTTGTATTATTTCCTTCCAGAATTTACCCAAAATGTACAGTGATGAGCAAAGTTCAGATCAAAGCAGAACTCAAAGCCCCCTAGTTGGAAAAGACATAAATATTTGCTCTGGAATTGGAGTTTAATGATCTTTTCTAATTATTCTATTCAATATAGTTATCATTAAGCAGACTTTCCAAGGCTACAACTTCATAAAAATCTGTGGCCTACTTATTAACATAAATCCTTGCCCTTCACAATATTTGGGGAATAGTAGCCAGAGAAGTAACTTAGTAAACCATGCTCTGATTTTAGAGTAAACACAGGAAAATAGTAGAAGATGTTATAGGAAACTTTGGGGTAAAGGAAGGAAACAAAATTGGAATCATTGAAAGCCAAATTAAACTCATGGTGAAGGTCTAAAATAGAAAACTCAAATTGACAACAGGAGAGTAACTTTAAGCTCAAGGTAAAATCCACACATCTGTAGTGATAACTTCAGAAAAGACCTATTAGGAAATCGTCTGAAACATCCCTCTCCATGATTAAACCAGTTGTTATCCAAAAATGCGCAGAAGAAATGGAGGAATTCTGTGATTCTCATCACAACGTATAAAGCCTGGTTCTTCAGGTAAGGTCCAGACTCAGCAGCGAGCTGCGACCTTACTGATACCACCTCCCTCTGCCCTGGTGTTTGAAGAACTGCTAACTGAGGAAGGCAGTGTAGCAACCAATGGGATGTTATTTCTGGCTGCACGGAGATGGTCGTGGGATCCTTACCTGTCCCCCTTTAGGCTGGTATTTAATGTTGTCTGTGGACCCGATTTTGGATTTGACGTTCTTCAGGTCTGGCAGTGGCTGGTTAATAAGCCGGAGCTGCTTGGGAGTAGCGGGGGATTTGGGAGGAGTACGGATGATGGCGACCTTCTTCTCGCTGGGCACCAGGATGGCAGACTTGGGGGTTCCTGGCGTGTGAGGGGTCCTGGGGAAGCTGGGGGTTCCTGGAGTGCCTGGGGTGCGTGAAGAATAACTTGGAGGGGTGCCGGGTGTGATGGCAGTCGATCCAGGGGTAGTAGGTGTTGAGGTGCCACTTTTTCCTGCCCTGCGAATTGGCTCTGACCCTGTATTAATAAAGGGGTAAGACAAGCACCAAACACCAGCGTTAATGTTCTCCTTAAGGTACCATTCTACCTGGGGACTTGATTAAATTTGCATGAATTACCACAAAAAGCCAAAAAAATATACCAGTACCTCCTCCTCGAGGTCCATAATCTAAGTGATGTTCTTTTGAAAATCTGTTCCCGTTAATGTGAGGATAAAACTGGATATTTCTTGATTTATTCTCCTTACATCTCATTATAAATGTGTCAAGAATGACCTTCTACTTGCACTATCATTAAGGCACTTAGACTGCCTTTAGCTGTGTGGAAAAAGTAGGTCTCTATTTTTTGAAGCTTTCTGAATGATATGTAGGTCATTCACTCCTCTGTCGTTCATTCATTCTGAGCTCTGGTGTACATATGACAGGGATCTGTAAATCTGCATCACACGGTGTTAGCCTATGCGGAAAACAATGGATTGAATCATATCCCATGTTAGTCCCTCTGCTAATACTAAGCACTGCGGGTTGCATGCATGTTTAATGGAAGCTGGTAGACATTACTCTGCTATACGGTACTGCTTATTTCCTTTATAAGGAAACACCCCAGTGCTTTATTCTAAAGAGATCTATTTCTTTCTGTAGAAAATTGGGATGTTACAAAATATTCATTGTGATACTTGCACCTGATTGTGTTATTCATATAGTAGTGCAATCTTCAGAGATGAATTTCTTGGCTGTCACTTCAGCCCAGCCTCATTTTAATAAAAAATATAGTGAATGTTTAAACTACAAAAATTATTATAGTAAAAGACACATTGCTATTCACCCTCCTCAAGATACTCCCCTCGTTTGAACGCACCTGTCTCATCTTTCTTGACATTTTCTGAACTAGTTCTGGACGTCTTCTTTCATGCCTAATTGCTTTGTTCTGACTGTCTCAACGTTCTGAATCGACTTCAAACATTTATCTTTCATGATCATTTTAACTTTGGGGAAGAGCCAGGAGGTGCATGATGCCAGGCACAGTGATTAAGACTGATGAGGACGCACAGTAAGGTTTTAGGAGTTGGCCATGCTGTCAGATGGCACCGTATTTATGGTTCATAAAGGCAGTCACAAAAGAGGACTCCCAGAACGGCCTCAAAGAATGATCAGATAAGTGTGTTTGAAGGGAAGGGGAATATTTTGAAGGAGATTGATAGCAGTATGTCTTTTACTGTAATAATTTCAAAAATTTAAATATTTACTGTATATTTTGATCACCTCTTGTATTTTACTCTTTCCTCTCTGTTTTCTTCCTGATTCTAGGTTTCTCTGAGATTATCTTTTTGAATGTATTTTCAATACCATTTCAAATGCTCTTCTGAAAGAGGAACAATAGAAACAAATATATACTGTGTAGATTTCAAAGCACTTTTGCAAATACCAAACAATTTGAAGCAAGCAAACATGCATAATAGGGGTAGCTCTTATTATTGTTAATTAAGAAATGAGAACACTGAAGTTTGTTTACTCAGATACTATTAAATTTTAAGCCAAATAGATATTTAGTGTGGTTTGACTGTCACCTTTTAAGCATTCAGATTTGATTTACAACTTGTATTTTGTAAGTAAAGGCACAATCTGTATTTTTTACTGGTTACACTATGGAAAACCAACAAAGCCTCTGAAATTTTGCAAGGGATTAAAATAGGACTCAGCTTTAGAATCACTGAAGTGAAAGAGATCTGAGAAGCCAACCAATGCAACCAATAACCAGTGTGGAAGGTTCTTCCTGAGGAGAGGATGTTTAAAGTAAACATTGCTTCGCATTTTAAGGAATGAGATTCTTAGACCATTGTGATGTCCAGATAGCAGAAATCAGACCACTGGGCTGGATTTCATTTCCTGAAGAAATAGAACAGTTTGACTTCCTCTTTCTGTGAACAGTTTTCATGCATTAAGAGAAAATTGCCCCTGGTTCCCTTTGGCTTTTAATAAAAGTGTACAAAATACCTGCATGACTCAGATGATAACAGAAATGGGATACAAGGCAGTTAAAGTGATGGAGTTGTGCACATCCTCTGGGTTTCTAAAAATTTTTTTTAATTGCTTTCCATAAAGATGGTTTTTCAAGACCAGGATGACAGGACCAGTCAGGCAGCATTCTGTAAGCTTCCTTGGGGTATAAGTTTTTAATGTAGGCTTCCTTGTGTTACCATGTCCCTCTCAAAAATTTCTCCATAAATTTTATTTCTTCCTCAAATGTTTTCTCTGTGATTTCACCAGCGTTGAGAATCTCTAAAGTGAAAGAGATCTGACATTCTGGAAAGAAATTTCTGCATAATTTGCCACTATACCTATATTTTGGTAACTTTCATAAGGGTTAAACACAGCAATTTTATTTTTTTTTAATGGGATGAATCGGATTCAAAATTTATCAAAGTGTGTTAATGTGCTCTTTATTGTATGGAGACCGAGCAGAAGCAATATACTAGATATCAGCAAAAATTTTTATCATAATAAATAATTTGTTTCTAAAGTATGTGTCATTACTGGTAGAAAATGAGATTTTTCATAAAAGGCAAGAGTTTTGTGTTGGATTAGAAAAATGAAGATAAACCATGAGTATTAAGGCCTTTATATTGCTATTAATACACTTGACCTCATTTTATTGCATTAAGTTGTTGTAGTCTCAAACGAGTGTTTCTTATCCTGAATTAAAGATGCAAAGTTAAAAACTAACGTAATTTTCAAAATACCTGTGAGTTTATCGAACTGTTCCCTTCTTTATCTTCTCAACCTGATGACAAAGCCTTTCTCTCTTCCTGAGCTAAGTGAGCTTTCTGCATAGCATTCGTTCCTGCAAATCCTTTCATCAGTTTTATGAAAGACCAGGATATTTCTGGGTTTGGTTAAGGAGAGGGTAGAATGCCAGTGGCAAATGCATTGCTTTTCTGGTTGTCTCTATGCCTTTTAGACACTGCTATGCAGAGCTAAAACAGGCCTGCTGGTCTCAGAGGATCAGTGTATCAGTTATGCTTATTGTCCAATAATGTAATAAAATATGTTTGCGAACACAAATAAAACTAGAATGTCAAAACAGGACTGGCTCAGGACATTTCTAAAAGCAATTTATACAGAGGTCCAAGTTAAAAGGCAGAATCCAGTGGCATAAAGACACGGATTTATGGTGACAGGGCCATCTTTCATTATTCAAGGTGCTCCTTTGGGAGCGTGGTGCCTTTGTCTTGTCTCATCATCCTTGGGGTGGCTGTGTATCTTCAATTCCAAATCCAGATATTTGGAGTTAAAGTCACTTCCCTGGAGATTACTAATTCTTAAATGCCCTCTTTCTTATTGTAATAAAATAATTTATTTTTCCTATTATAAAAGAAACATTTAGTGATTTCAAAGTGTTCCCAGTACAGATTTTAAAAGATGTGAATAGTTCACAAAACTAAATGTTGGATACAGTTACTATAATTACAATAAACATTTTCACTGCAAGCAAAAGCACTCCAAAAATCAGCCATATTGAAGTAGACCAATTATTATTAAATGTTTTTTAAAAGCAAGTGGTGAAATCAACTACAATGTGATAGAGATAGCAATTTCCACCAGTGTATAACAGTTTCTGAATTACAGAGGTATCATTTCAAAGTAGTTCCAAAGAGCAGTTCTCAAACACTATTTCCCAAAAATAAATATAGAGAAGACATTAAGAGGACAGCTTGTGAAATTAACAGTGGGTTGACAATCAAATTCAACCACTCACTAGCTACATAGGATTGGACAAGTTATTTTCTCTCTAAGGTAAAGTTTTTAATTAACCAAATTTCAGCTATTATTACCTGTTACCATTATGATTTAAGATAAGTGAAAAATATATCTTCCGGTCTTCTCCAGGATGCTTTATTCCAGCATCTGAGCTGTTTCTCTTAGAGAAGCTCTTTACTGCTTATTGATTGGCCATCTTCCCTAATTCTCTCAAAAATGTATCTTAAGAGTTTGGTATCCACACACTCAATAAATGGCAGCCATTTTTGTTGTAAGGGAAAAATACTTAGAAAAATATTCTGCGTCCTTCTTTTACAAGATGGTTTCCCAGAACACAATGTGTAAGTGTGTAATGAGAGGAACATTACATAAATTGTTGTAACTGCCAATCAGTTCACTATGGGTCATCAATCAATGGAGAAACTACTGTTCAGCTCATACTATTTTTACAGCTACCCTGGAATGCAAGTTCTCAACAAATTAAGCAGGATCTCAGATTTTGAATTCTGACTTTTCATTTAGATTTGAGTCTTACATTTATATAGATGCATGTTTTTTTTTTTTTTTGGAGTAAATACATTTATTGATACTCATTTTATATATAGTTCAATGAAATAATCTACAAATATAAAAGCATTTTTTTCTTTTGGATATCACCATGGTCCATGTAAATACTCAACAGTCAGAGTCATCTGCAGGAAGCACTCCAAGTCACACTGTTAGGTTTACAGACCTGAATGTATGGTTCATTACACAGTGGCACTTATGTACTCAAGTGGTCCAGTGGCTTTGGAGTATAGGACAACTGGGTATGTAGAGTAAAAATAATGTAAAGTTTAAATCAATGGGAAGGGTATCAACCATCAACAAAAAGAAACAATTATAAATCAATAAGCTTAGGTGAAAAAAGTACCACAGCTGACACTTGGTGTCAGAATACTGGAGACGAGGATGTGACACAACACACGTCACAGCACTGCATGTTCTCTCTGGCCTCCAGTGGAGCCTTCCAGTGCCTTTGGGTCAACCGACAGCAATGCTGACAGAATACACTCTCTGATTGTTGCTTTTCTCAACTAATTCCTTTTTAAAAACGTTTTGCCCTAAACTTAAACCAAGAAAGCAAACATATATTCAGAAAAATGACTATCTCAATCTTACTTAGTAGACAATAAGGTACTGTTGGTCCCGTTTCCTCCATGAATTGTTTTTACTCAGAAAGCTGTTTTAGAGCCAGCTAGAGTCTGTGTTCTCTGATTCTTACGACAAAGCTAATCTGTTCTGAATACATGTTTGATTTGAAAAATGTAAAGCAGAAGCAAATAATCAGCTCTTTTCCACATTAGAGACTTTTAAAAATAACTGAAAAGGAAGCAAAACCAAAAGAAACATACTGGTGGTCCGTCGCGCTGAGGAGGAGATGGAGCTGTTGAGGGAGAAGGGATTTTCGTCTCTGTCGCCTGACACGCCTCGGCGAGGAGGGAGGATGGAGGACGGCCTCGGGAGGGCAGAGCGCTTTTCTGGGCTCTTGGTCATGCCATCCTAAGTTGGGAAAATGAGGAGACACTGGGTTCTTGTCAACTTTCATTGCAGGGACACAAAGTGAGTTCATCGTGCTAAGGAGTTTTCCTCCTGCGCTGATAAATTTATTTTAATAGACACTACCAAATTTCATACACTTATCATCATTTCTACTTCCAATAACTGATGAAGTGTTCTGGGTTACCCAGATATTTCACACAATTATATTATTCTGGAGTTAGTTCTGAAAATTATTTACTAAAGCCACCTTCAAAATACTGCTATTTCTACTGAAAATTCTTCATTAGCATGATGACTTATTCATCAGCAAGAACTGGCCAAAGGGCATTGCATGAATAATATTCCCAAGAACGACCACTGCCATATAGTACACACCTATGGATAGGAACTCTATGCCCATCACATCCATTTATGACTTCACTCTAGCCACCAAATATTATATACATTTTACATCTGCAGAAACTTCTATAATGAGTTAATGTAATTTCTTTCAAATTCACAGAGTTGGCAGAGGTGGTATTTTAACCCCAGTGTATCGATGGTGACTATGTTGTGTACAACAGAGTTTGTTGTTGTTATACTGTAATTATCTGTTACAGATGTCATTATATAGAATAGAATAGATTTGGTTTTACCAGGTTTTGATATTTTACAAGAAAAAAACTCATAATGGATAATACATCTATTCTATACTTATTATTACTAAGAGACTATTAAAATATTGCAATTGTATTTGTTAACAGGTTCTGTTGTTTATGTCAAAGAACTTAGTATTTTATAACCTTGCTTTTGTTAACCCTGAATGATACCACATAACTGTCTCCCAAATTATATTCCTATCTGCACCTTCCAGTGACCTACAGCCTTACCTTGTTCCCTGATTTTGAGTTTGGGAAACGCTCTGTGGAGCCCGCTGAGTTGGGCTGTGTTAAAAAACTGTCAGAAAAGGTACCCCTTTCAGCCGTGCTAGAGTAGGCTGTGCTGAAGCGTGGAGGCTTTGTGCTACCCTGCAAAGCAGGAATCTTTGACAAGGTAGGATGCTAGCCATGAAAGAAAACAAACAAAAGTACAAAATAAACCAAACTATGAAGTAAAAGGAAAAAAAATCAAAAAAGCACAAACATATAATAAATCAAATGTATACTTTAATAAGAACACATGATACAATGACTGTAATCAATGATGAAAATGTACATTCATGTGAGAACATGAGCTTTTCATTAAACACTTCCTTTTAGCTGGAATTAATAATACTTTTATCTACTGTATGTGAACATAAAAATACTGACCTATTAAACCTCGTATTCGTCAGGTCTAAAACAGAAATCTATGTTATTTGCTCTCCTTTCAAATACTGTGATTATTTATGCTTAGTATATTATATGGAAAAAATGAATAATTGTTAAATAAACAATGAGTGGTAGGTTGATGGAAGGATCAAAAAAAAAAAAAAAAAAAGAATAGTATTGCTCAGTCTTGGAAGAGTTAGCCTTGTGAAATTCTAAGACCAAAGCATTGTGCGTGGTTTGATCTAGGAACTGTAACAGCCTAGCTCTACCCCGAGAATCAGAAGATGTGGTTGAAAGTAGAAATGCCCTAGTTAACCTTGAATAATGGAGGTAAGAGAAAGCCTTTCTGGGAAGAAGTAGGCTAGTGATGAAATCTCCCACTGTTAAAGTTTAAGGCTGGAGTTTGGTTCTGAAGCAGAAAAAGACACATATACCCCTCTTTGGTGTGGATCACTGCAGCTGGCAGCTGCATAGGAAGCAACTCTGTTTGTACCCTCATCCCTTCAGCTTCTGGACTGAATTTTTCAGAAAATGAACAGAATTTCAAGATTGCAATAGAATTGGGTTATTCTGAGGAGCCTATTGTAGAATGCTTGTGGAAGCAATTCATACTGTACATTTATATCGAGAGTCGTATTTAGATCCATAGTCACAATGCATATTATTTTCAGTGAATTAAGCTTTAAAATGCACATTACAGTTACTTCTGCTTTCTGGGATATTGGAGGAATATGGTCCCTCATGGGGTCATTATCTGATAAGGGAATGAGAAATGACACAATGCCAGCTCTTTGGGAATTTCAAACTTTGCTAGTATTTTCATAAATGAAACCCTTTCACTCTCAGAGAATGAAATGAGATCTTCAGATCATGAATTCCACCATTTAAGGATGGCTCACTAATAAAAATACTTTAAAAATATAAATGGTGAGATAGGCAGATTATCACAATGGAAATTAGCAAAATAGTCATTTTGGTGATTTAAAAGATGATGCTAAATAGCTTAGTTTGGGGACTTCTGAAATAATTTTATAAATAGTTCTTATTTAAGAAACATAGATAAAATATTCTTCATGAGTACTATATACAAAGTTTCTAATCCACAGGTCGAAAAATGATGCCATTTCTGGAAAATGTCTTTATAGTTTAATGTGCTCCTAATACCTAAGTACAGCCTTTAATGTGTATACGCAATCCATACCTCCATCACATTTTAAAGAGCTTTAGATAACACACAGAAGATCTAGTAATTCATCTACTAATATTACTTTACAGATTGAGAGACCTATTTTTCAGATAATCCATACTGACTTCCTTAGGAAACATGAAGTAACATACAGCAAGTTCATTCTACGAATAAAACACAACTAGGGAGCTGTTCCTGGTGCAGAATGGGTGGGATCTTGCTATGCACAGTTGACAATTGGTATGATGTGCTATATGATCTAAAGACAGTCAGCTCCAAACTGACCCCTATAAAAATCACCGGACTTCATTCACACACACTGACGACCCCAGGGGAGACTGCAAGTGTAAGTGGCTTTTGGAGAAAGCTATGCTGGCATCTCATGAGGCCTCCTGGAAGACTTCGTTAAAAACACAGACAAGAATGACAAAGCCAAGGTGACCATTATCTCTAAATAATCAATTTGATTTAGCTGTTTCAAAAGTAGTGGATGAAACTGAGAATTTTATCTCCAGGTTTCACGTCCACAGCCACTTTGACGGGGACAGAAGCAGACACAGATCGTGGAAACCACTTCTCTGCAGGCCTGGGGCCATGAGTGGGAAGCCTAACTGGGTCAGCACGGTTGTTCTCTTTTGCTTGATCCTACTCGTGAAAGAATGAATTTCAAAAATGTGTTCCAAGAGAGAAGAATGGAGAAGCTGGATTGGCTCTAATTAAGAGAGACAAGCCTAATGCTAAGCAAACTGCCATCACCACCAGAAACCCAGGGGAATGAAAGATTGTGGATAATTTTCATAATAAAGATAAGACAACTGTTTTCATGAATGTCCTGAATATCAGAGATAAATCACACAAGTATTAGTCTAGGAATTTTAGGAAACATAAAGAGAGGGTAAGGTATTGGAAAGAAAAAAGGAATGATACAAAAGAGAAGCTAAGAATGATGGACTTATCTTCTCCACAGAGATGCAGTGAACATTTACAATGTAAAAAGTTAGTTTTATATCACACAATGTCCTTGACAGACTAACGACTTGAACTTTTCCTATAGGTTTTCTAAAAGATGTATATTTAAATTTTTTTCCTAAAGGGGAGAAACTCAAGACTTATTTTTGGTATCTGGTCCTAAAATCATTTACTTTCTAAATAGTAACAAAATAATTAAAACAACAACTGCTATTATTTATTAAATGAATGCTACTTTCTAGTCATTATACAATGCAGTGATGTATAAAATTACTGTAAACTTAATTAAATTATAATTTAGGAATTTTTATCATGCTCTTTTTAGACAAGACAGAAAAATAAAGATCATTTAAATAATAAATGTGCAAGATTCGAACATGACAAGTCACTAACTAGTTCCCAGTTAGAAACAATGTAAAGAGATACAAAACTTAGAATCCATCGCTCTCAAAATAAAGCCCAATACTGACCAAAGCAATAAATGAATTCTATTACCTGCCATATATTCAGGAACATGTCTGAAAACATTTGTAGAAAGTTAAATGTTTTCCTTGATCAAAGTGAAGTCTTTCAAATTCAAGGTGATTATCAAAAGTTTGGTCATAAATGGAAGTGAATCATTTTCAAAATAAATAAAAGCAAAAGTATAAAAACCTATCAGTTATTAGAAGGTTAAATTATGTCTTGTGACTTAAATATCACATATAATTACGGAGAGCCAGAATGTTGTAATAAGTTATTAATTAACATCATTCAAATTATTTTTCATAATGTCTATACTTCATGAACAGTTCATCAATTTTTTTTCTTCTAGTTGTAAAGAAGAAAAAGTATTTCATGTTAGCTTTGGTCTTTAAAATATAGTTAATAATGTGAAACATAAAAAGTCAAAGTAGAAAATATGTACAAACATGAAAACATTAAATACTGTTAATAGAATCACATTAAAACAATAACACAGTTTCTCAGAATCTGGCAAATAGAGGTTTGGTAACACATAGTAAAAAATTTTCACTGTAGACTTTTTTGGGAATACTTTTTTTCTAGTAGTATGTTATTCAAAAGAAAGCATTTATGAACTTTATATTTACATCTCTAATATACTGTAAAACAGTTATGTTGATTGTAATGGTAAATTTCATTCTATATATGGCAAATGAATCGGTCTTCCCCACTTTTGCCAAATCATTGTGCTGCTATATGGTTTTATCTTACTAGTAAATGGGCTATCCAACCGCGTCCCCCCAGCTACCATCACATATCATTCCAGAGGACATTAATACTTGCTCAGTTGCTCTTGAGAATCCATCTGGATGAATGAACAGCTTAAAATGACATTTAAAGGTAAATATCTAAGGACGTAAAGAATCTCTAAAGTTATTAAGACACTGCAATGAACACCAAAAGAAAGCTCAAATGAAAAACAAGGTAAAACTTGTTTTACTCACAGAAACTTTGTCCTTTGCCTGTTTAAATACACTGGGAGCCTGAGTTGATTCACCACCTGTTGCTGTAGAAAAGAAAAGACATAAATGACCTCAAACTAAGTGGCTAAAAACTGCACACATGTATTTTTTTCAGTGCCTTTGGGATATTCTACTGTGTCAACAGACTAATGCACAGCAAACTTTTGTTTGTTGTGAGGCTCAGATTTGGTAACTGAAGAAACCTGAGCCTCAGTAACATAGCATGAGACTTCTAGTGTGTGCTACTTAAGACATTTCCGTGTGTATCAAAGATCAGGTAGGGACTAGTCATAGTGTACGGACGGGTTCACAGTGTACCTTAGAAACACTACTGCACGAAGTTAGACTCTTTAGAAGTCACAGAATAGCAAAATAAGCACTGCGGACTTTAAGCAAAAGGAAACTGATTGGTTTCAAGGGTCAGTGTGACATACAGGTGCTCACTGAGATTTCCAAACCCTCCTGTTTTGCTGTATTTTACATTCCAAACTATCATGATCTCTCTGCACCCTCTACTTCACAATATGAATGACATACTTGTTTGATGTGAAATGCACTATGTGAGAAGGGGAGAAAAATAGCTTATCAGGGACAGACGACAAGAGAAGAATTTCAAGTTCAGTAAATACAGACCATGTTCTACACATGCACTCTCTGTATGAAATTATTACCACATCTGTTACTGCTGTTTCTCCTTCTGCTGTTTTATACTTCTGGTTTCAATTTTAAACTCCATCACCTTGAGAGTATTTGCTGTTGATAACTTACCTGCTGTATTTCACAATCTAAGACAATTCTTTTGTTTTGGAAAAGTCATCTACATTTGAAAGTTATATTCAGAAAATAAAATATGCAAGCTTATGTGTTTACTTTCTCTTTAATTTTCTTTGGTAAGAGACAGATCCTCAGGGAAACAATGTTTATACTTATGAGTCTTCCAAATGAGTTTCAAAAGATTTCTTATGCCACGGACAGCTCTAACATCCAAATAATAGCTGTCTGCAAAATGCTTTGAGGTAGGTAATATTGTGCAGATTCTAGAACTGAGTTTTAAAAGTAGTGAGAAGAATGCCTTCTTACTTATATAACATACCTCAAATTTCTGTGACATACGCATGTAGTTTGTTTCAAACCAATGACACTTGCTGAGTATATGCCTTCTGCCAGAATATCTTAATATTTGACTAGAATAAGAGAATATTCAAATTGTTTCAAAGATTTCAAGGATCTTTCAAACAGTAATAGTTTCAGTGCAGTAAACTGATTACCAGTGGACATGCAAACACTACTGAGACATCTCACATCTCTTCTAAAATTTCATAACCCTGATAATATCTTTAATATTCAAGATAAGCTGGAGGAGTTTTAAATGCTCAAGCTGGAAGATTCTGCTTGCTCAAGCATTTACCTAAATAGAAGATTTCCAAGTTTAATAAGGCTAAACTCCTTTAAAAAATGAACTACAATATAAGATTTGGAGATGCCATGTTAATTTCTAGTTTCTATTTTGGAAGTATTTCTCCTCTTGAATCTCTATCAAGCTCTGCATGTATAGATAAGCCTTCTGTTTTCAGACAGTGCTTCTGATATTTGTTATGAAAGAAAAACATATAAGATGTTTCCTATCTGAAGAACACAAATATGAAAGACTTGAAATGCTTAGTGTCTGTTATAAAACCAACAATTCCCTTGATTTTCTTTTTCTCACAAAAGTGATGCTGGTCTTAACCATTAAAACCATCTGAAGGTGAATGCAGAGACATGTGTGTTGCACAAAGGAAAGGTAAATATTCCTGTCTGACCTAGCAATCTGATATACATCATTTAAATGTTAAATGCCATTTAAATGTTAAAATAAAACATATCGTACTACTGTAAACATCATGATTATCCTAGCGCAGTTACACTTACCAAATACTTTGAATTGAAATTTGGAAGTAAAGTTTGCACTATATATTGGTAGGGGTTTTATTATGATTTCTAACATGTTTCATTCTTTTGTTTCACCATCTTTTAAAACTTGGTAAGTAAATGCATATATTTGAAGAGTGAAGAGGAGTAGGTAGGTAGCAAAATCAAAATAAACCTAACTTTATTTCTAATGTAGGTTTCTCTGACAGGGAAAAGAATTTTATCTTAAAAATTCTGCAATCTGAATTATGCCAGAAAATTAAACTGTCTAGTTCAACACATCTAAGACAATCAATCCCTTTGACAAAGTTCAAAAGATATAGCACAGTAGTGGTCTGAAAGGCCTGATAATCATGGATACAAGTAGTAAAATTTCACGGAATTGTCACACGATTTCATTTTCTTGCTTCTTTGTTCATCTAAAACAAAATGATTCTGCAAAGCACAATTTTACCTCAGTTTGTTTTTCATTTTCAGTGTCTCAATCTCTATGCATTTTTGGTGGTGTTCAGTAAAATTCATCAACATCAGTAACAGATTTGGCAGTGACAGCAGAGAAAATAAGACAAAGATACATGGATTTAAGCATGAAGGAAATAGATAAGCAAAATAATGAGAATGCATACCATGGTGAAATTCATCGCCACCGTCTAACCAAACACACAGAATGAAACTAGGAATCCCCAGAACGTGACATTAGAGCATAATGCCAAGATACAACCACGCACTCTTACGTCTGAGCATGATAGAGAGACAGATGGCCATGAGCTCTTCTGCAGGGAGGGAAAAAAAAAGAATAATGATACAAGACACTTAGTAGCAAAATTGTTCATGACGGCTGAGATTCTTGGAAGAAAAGCAAAATGAAGAAGCTGCTACAATAATGAGATTTAAAATAAACAAAAAGAAAAGAAATACATGTCTATGTTTGCCAGCCACATTGCACAACCGAGTAGGTCAGTCACCTGTGGTTTTCCGCTTAACACAGGAGAGATGAGTTGGTCTAGTGTATTTGATAGCAGGTTTTAAAATGAATTTCCTGGAGGGAGAGTGGGCCTGAACTTCTGTTTTTTTAGCAAGTTCAGCCTTCTTATAAACTGCTACGAATAAGAAAACACAAAGAACATACCATCAGGAAAAAAAAAAAAAAAAGAAAGAAAAGACACAGTTGGAACAAACCCAAATGAAACTTTTGTAAATAATCAGTTACCACTGGTAGGCAGTTTCTTCTACACACAAGTAAAACGAATGACTTCAAAAAACATCGGTAAAGAAGTGATCATTAAATGAACCTTTTTTCCTTCTCACTTCATCCCTGGAGACCGTGCTAGGTTCCTTTTTAGCTATTTTTCTTTCAGGAGTGGAAATTCTGCCTCTCCCGGTTTTAAAAGGCTTTTCTTTTCTATGTTTCTCAAGAGATGGTCTCCGAGCTTCCTTGTCAGCTTTCTCCTCTTTAGGAATAGTTTCTAACTGCTCTGTCATGATGCTTCTATCATCATCTGTGGATCAAAGCAAATCATGACAACAAGAACAGTGACAACATTAGTAACAAATTGTACAGAATCCTCCGCAGCACACTTCCCAAAATGCAAAATAAAGAGATAAAGGGATACTTTTTACATTAAAAAAAAAGCCCATTAGGTTACTGGGATGGATTTGGGAATAGAAAATTAAAAAAAAAAAAAAAAAAGAGCACACCTTGAGTGTCCACCCAGAGACTGTCTGCATCCATGACGGAGTCGTCAATCGTGGTCTCGTCTTTGTAATCGTCGTAGGTCTCTGTCTTATATTCCGAGAGCGCGGCTTCTCTCTCGGGGGAGGCCGGGGCTTCTGGGGAGCCGTCCTTAGGTTCTGCCTGGGCTTCGGCTGCCACCTCCTCTTCCAGCTCTTCCTCCTCCTGCGGGGAGGGCCTCCTTTCCATCTCGGGCTGCTCCAGGGCTGCAAAGCGCACGCTGTGGGACCCCGATTCCCCTTCATCGGTTGTGGTCTGCACCACGGTGATGAAGTCGTCCTCTATGGTCACCACAGACTCAATGCCTCCTTTGCGTTCACCGGGGCAGGTCTCCAGCACGTTTTCCCTGCTGCTGGGGGCGCCCAGGTCGGTGATCTGCAGGGTGTCCGAGCGGAAGAGCAGTTTATCATACTCTCCCCGGGCTTCTATCTCCTCTTCCTCGCTCTGGACTTCTGCAGGTTGGGCCATGGCCGCTTCAGGCTGTGGCTCGGGCACGTCGGAGGCTGTGACGGCGATGTCTGGGGTCTCTCTGCTGTCTTCTTTTGGCAAGGTTGGAATAGATTCCATCTGGACATCAGCCGGCTCTTGGGCGGCTAAGTCGGCCTCCGAGACAGCAGGTGGGCAAGGGACCTCCACAGACACTTTAAGGGCGATTTCATCTTGGATTAGGGATGATTCAGGGGACGTTTCCTTCTTGCCCTCATCAGGTTTCAAGGACTCCATGGTGAGGCTCTCGTGCTCACCACTAGACTCGTAGGATTCCTCTTTGTCTACAGCCTCCTGGTGTACCAGGTCGGGCTTGGCCACCTTCTCTTTGACTTCCGTCTCACTGACTCTGGCGCCGTCCTTCAGGTGGCCAGCCTCGACCCCCAGGAACACATCTGCCTCCCGGGGCGCTTCAGATGGGGGCACCTGTTCCTGCTGAACCTCCAGGGTAAGCTCCGCTATCTCTCTGGCATCCACATCCAGCCTTGCCATTATTGGCCCCAAATCACTGATTTTAACATCTAATGGAGCCTCATCAGCTTTAGTTGCAGCAAAATCCAGTTCGTGTTCAGTTTTTTTGGATGGTTCCACCTCAGCGACCTCTGGCACCGAACTAAGTCCTTTCTCTGCTTTCTCAGACGCTGCGTCTTTGGATGCTGTCAGCTCTTTGGCCGAAGGTTCTGTGTGTGTCACTCCTAACCCAAACATGTCCACTGTGGCACCAGCCTCCTGGGCCTCCTTGGCGTGCTCTTTGGCATCGGCATGTTCCTCGCTTTTTTCTAGGACAGTATCCAGCTTATCATTTCCTTTCCTCTCCTGGTCAAACTCCCTGAGAAGACCAGAGGTAGGGGATGTTTCTTTCTCGGCACCGAACTCATCTTTGACTCTCCCAGCTGCTGCCAGCTTTACTTCAATCAATGACAGGTCTGTTGCCAAATCCCTTCGAACTTTGTCATCAGTTCCCTCGTAAAAGGAACCACTGTCTCCCGACAGATTCTCGCTGTCTTGAACAGGTGACGGAAGCGGGACTGTGTATTTGTTGAACACACAGTAGCCTAGGTCTTCTAGCTGACTGTCTGTTTTCACAATGACATGGTTCTCATCGGTCACAGGGGGCAGGCCAGTGCTGCTCTCCTCAATCACTGTCTCTGAGGGGACAGATTTCCTTCTGGCAGCTTCAGCATCTGCACTCACGGAAGCTAACCTTGACCTGGTGCCGGCCAGATCCAGCATTTCAGGCAAGTCGGGGGCCATGACAGTGCCATTTTTATAATAATCTTTGGCCACAAAGGGCGACTCACAGGGTGCCTCCACTTGGGTATTTTCCCCTCCGGTAGTTTTTTCTTCCTCTAGTTTTTCTTCTTCCTCTTTGCTTTCTATTGGGAAGCAAGGGGCTTTCTCCACTGCAGGAGTAGTGGCAGGAAGATAATCGTCGCCTTCATCCATACTTCCACTCGTGTTGGTGAGAATATCAGAAGCCAGAGGAGAGAGGTCATGACCACGGCCAAAGTTAAATCCCAGAGCTATGGAATCCAAGCAAGACATGGGCAAGTTGATGGACATGCTTCTTTGTTCTATCGCGGACCTCCCACCGAGTCCTAAACTTCTACTGAGTGTCAGGTCATCCTTATTCTTACTGTGCAGGTCTCTTTTCTCCCCATACACTTTTGGATCAATGGTGAACATCCTTTCTTGAGGAGAACTGGGTTCCTCAGGTACCTCAGCTGGGTAACTCTGTGCAAGAGTGCTGTACCCAGCTTCCTGTGCTGGGGCACTGGGCTGGGGCTCTTTCTCTGCTTGAGAACCCTTGTCACCATCTTCACGCATGGTAGATATGCTTTCAACAGACTCTGGGGCACTTTCTCTTGTGTCACTCAGTTCATAGTAGTCACTGGCCAGCTGAATGCTTTTGGTCACTTCTTCCTTCAAGGCAGATGTTTCGAAGTACTTAGACATTCCTGACTTATCTTCATAAAACGGCATGTCAATTTCTGTTGATTGTGCAGCTCCAACTCCTTCCACCTTGCTGTCTTTATCGGCAACTTTCTCCTGAAAAAGTTCCTGCAATGTACTCTTTTCATGGAGTGCAGCTGGCTCAATGGAGACTTTTTCCAGGGTGTTCGAGATCATGGTTGGATCTGTCATTGCTTGTTCCAAACTCGCAGGGAAGGAGTCCTGTTTTAACATATCTGTAGCATGCTCTTGGCTTTTAGGTTCTTCTTGCAAGAAAGTGTGCTCAGTGGCAGTCTGGATGATGCCCGTTTCTTCATCTCTCAATTTTGAGGGTTCATGTTCTTTTGGCACAGCTTCTTTGTCAGAAATAGATGTCTTTTCTTCAAGCTTTGGCTGAAGTTCCCTTCCGGCAAGTGCAGGTTCCTGTCCACTGAGGGTGGAGATCTCTGTTTTCTCTTGAGGTGTGACCCCTGTTTCTTCCCCTAAACCTTTCTCAGTGACAGATTCTTCTACAACCGGAACGTGAGCATCCGTGGGTAAGGTGATTGCCTCTGAGGCTGCTGCTTCTGCCACTTTATCAGGTTTAGCTTTTTGTGTGTCTTCAACTTTAGCACTATCTTTGGCAGTCACTGGGCCGATTTCTTGTGGTGTATGCTTGTCATCTGGTTGCAATGACAAAGGGTCAAAGGGTGATGCTTCTGCGATGATTTCATTCTTCATGATATCTACGGGAAGAGTGAAACATCCAGCTTGAAAGGGACTTGGCATGGGAGAATCAAACTGCTTCCCTTCCCACCTGGGGACATCCTCCAGCACATCTTTCTCCCTCATGGGTGTCAAGGGGCCAGGAGACACGGGAGCAGCTAACCCCCACTCGTCTTTCTTTGTCTCCACTGGCATTTCAATGAACCAGTCTTTTTGCTCTTTGGAGGCTGGAGGCTGGGCAGGGAGGCCAATGCCAGGCACTATGAAGCTTGGTTCTGCCTTCGGTTTCATGTCTTCGAGGGTGGCACCAACAGGCTGCCCAAACAGAGAGGAAGGTGCCTTTTCTGCTTCTGCACCTTGTGTGCCCTTACTTTTGGGGGAAGTTTGAGTTGCGTCAGGCTGAGGAACTAAGGCAGCATGTTTAAGGTCTTCACCAGGCTCACTTTCCAGCTTTGACTCCTTCTCTTTCTTTTCTAAGGGCTCAGCTGCTGAGGGAGTCAATTCCTGCTGATCATGGAGCTCCATCTTCGAGGCTGTAAGCAAATCTGAAGTAATCGGGTTGATTTTTAAACAAATCATAGGCAAGGGCTTTCAGGCAGTAAGCTTCAAATTGTATTTTGAAATGACAAATGAATGGCAGAGACATGAAAAATGTGGGGCATGCAAGCATGCTATTCGTCTACAAATCAATATGAAAATGCCAGAGCTGAGATACAGATGCATGTCCCTAAAATGAACTGCTGTAAGTTAATGTGTGCAGGAATTATAAGAAGAGTTTACTTTAGACTACCCATTTGTCTTTTTTTGTTTTTTCATTTGTCTGGCATGTCTGAAACATGTGACGTGTATTATAGTAGAAAAGAAACAATGTGTCTTCTATATATTAATGCATATCGAATAAGTGGTTAATGTTATGATGTAAAATCTATATTAAGGACTATATATGAATAAAGATTGATTTCTATTGAATTTTATTCACAAGTTTCCTCCTTTGAAAATGAATTGGTAGGCCAGGGCAAAATGCCAATGATATTAATTAATGATATAAGAAATAATAGTTTCAGATAATCTGATCGACAGAGGCCTGGACTAATTTGAGAGGCAGTGCAAGGTTATAGCATAAATTTTTAGAAATCATCTGAGATTAAATTTCAAGAATATAAGTAAATATTTGTTTTCAATTTTACATAATTTAAGAATCAACAAGGCAATATGTACCACATATGCAATATTTTTATTACCTAATCATTGCTTAATCTGTCTCGCAGATGTAACAATATCTGTATTACATTATTAATATTGGGAAGCCAATATTATGAGTATTGTGGGGCCAAATTTATGAGTAATAAATTTTTCAAAAGAGTCAACTGTTAAAATACCGTTCTCCTTAGGATCATGACCTCATTCTTTGTGAATATGACCAACTGGAGAGGTACTGACCAGTACTGGCTTTAGAGATGCTTCATGGAAAACAAGTGACTTGTTCTTATTTTCATTTAATAACCAATCCAAAAGGCTTTAAAGCCACATTCATGTTTTGGGATCAAAATATTTCACAGTAGTCATTAGAGCTAAGTGTAGTTATGTGGAGAAGCTCTGGGGAAAAATCACAAATTTCAACCATCTCTCGAAGAGCAAGTGTATGGGTCATCATTACCTTATATGCTTGTGTGTCCTGTTGTAATAATAGAAGAGAGATATTTTATGAACTTGTAACAAAGGTTAGATGGAAGAAAAATCAAGAGATATGGGGGTGACTGAAGGGATTGGCTGCTATGGAAAGAAAATGACATGAGAAGCATCAACAGAGCTTTAAAGGAACCAAACCAGTATTTGTGGAAGCATAAATAATATAGCAGGTTGCAATTGCAAATAAAAGCCATTCTTCTATTTAAGCTTCTATATGCCAAAGTCCAATTGGAGGATTTAAAAGAAAAGCATATGAGTTGCTACCTCAAAACAAAAACAAAAACCAAAACAAAAATATACATGTATTAGCAATGTGACTGGCAAACATTCGAGATGAGGAGGGAGGGAGACTCAGAAGCTCACACAGCATCATCAGCCTGCTGCAAAGCGTCTTGTATCATAGCAAAGGACAACCAAGAATCAGCTGTAGCAGGGGACAACCAAGCTGCCATACAGCACTGCGCAAGCCACACTCTGCTCACAAAGGCTAAAACGGTGGTCTCATGATCATGAGAAGACCCAGAGATGAAACAGCTTTAGAAAGGCGCCAGGTTTGGAAGCCACAGGAGAGACCATTTGCAACAAAACACATGCACATCCTGAGAGAAACACACCTTCCTTGGAAGAGGAAGGGGTTTTTACTTCCGGAGACAACTCTGTGACCTCTTTTACACTTTCCTCATGCAGAGCCCCAGGGGGCGCACTCTCTTCTGGAACTATCTGTGCCTCGGGGCTAGCCTCCACTTGGCCCTCACTGGGCCCCTTGGCTTGGTCTGAGGACTTAGCAGCCCCACACTGTTTCCCAGGAAGAGCAGCAGGTTTCTCTTCCTCAGCCATCGGACCCTCTAGGGTTTCTTCTTCTTAGGGATGAGAAAGATGTTGACATCATGACCACATAACAATATGCAGAAGACAGAAACATTATTCAAGGAACACTTTCAGCTCCACTGGAAGAGATTCATCAGGACCTCCCATAGGTTTTACCATTTGGATCAGCAAATTGATAGTCTCGTGCAGCATACATGATATACTGATTGGAAAATTACAGTGTATAGTCTGCTAATAGTGATGCCTTTTAAGGTCTCATGAAAAGGCTATTTATTTTAAACTCTAGAGCTGAAAGAGTTTTATGGATCGATTACCCTTAGTGGTAAAGTTGCACACACATGGAAAGCTTGCTGGGAATAGGAGATGGGTGCTGCCAGGTGACAGATGGTTGTGACATAGATGTGTTGATGCACGGAAAAAACCTCTTTGCGTTTGTTAGGTATGTTCTGTTTTCTCCAATGCAGGAAGCCCCTACATAAGAATTCCTGCTTGCTTTATTTAAAATGAGCAAACTTCACAGAGGAGTCTTGGGAATTAAAAAAAAAAAGTCCTTCCATGTAATAACCAACAAATTATTGTAACAGCTTTACCAGAAAGTCCACTGAAACTTTTTTGGGGGGGTGGGTAACCAGGAATTGAACTCAGGGCTTTGCACTTGCCAGGCAGGTACTGTGCCTCTGAGCTCTATGCCCAGACTGAAACTTTAAAATATATTCAATATCCTCAAATTAATAGGCTATCTAACTAGCCTAGGTCAAAGACTACCTAACTCAATTTGTATTATCTTCACTGAATAAAATGATGCCTTAGAAAATGAAGAATTTGAAGGAGCATGTACAATATTTTGAAAGTTTAGGTCAAGATGAAATTTAAATTTTATTTATACAAGTCTTCCTCTGGGGTATAATTGTTACAATATTGTTTAATTGATAATATAGCTCCTGTGTCTCTAACACTGACAAAGAAAATGTGCATATTAGGAATAAAATCTTATTTCTACAATTCATGGCAAAAATCTCTCAGGAAAGATAATTGAGTGGTGACCAAATTGCCAAAATATCCCCCTACATATAAAACATACATAAAATATAAAAGGAAAATTCAGCCTTTGAAACCTTTAAAACATAAATAATGAACTTGGGAAGGTTCTAAGTTACTGTATTCATTTGTTCTCTATACTTCAAGTGTAAATTAAAAAAACCAATTTTATCCCTTAAGAAATCAGGAGGGAAATATATACATTGTTAGTGCTGCAAACGGACAATTGTTATGGAATTTCTATGAAATAATTGCACATTGTGTAAATGGTCCTGTGAGAAAGACTACAGATGAAAAGAAAAGGACTTTCCTGTTTTAAGAAATACTGACCCTCTGGGAGACAGGGAGAATGACTCCATGTCTTCATATGTGGCACTTAGATATTTACAGCCTTTCAATTTAACTCTGTAAGTGACATTTAACAAATTCCAGTTCTAACTTCTTATTGAGGAAATGTTATAATGTATAGATTTTACTCACAGTTTAATTTTATATAAATGCTTTCCTAGTGTGTTGCTTTTCTGAATAAACCTTAATCCAAGAATTTGTTTCTGAATCCACATTACGTTTTTAGCTTTCCATTTTTACAATTTGCGTAGATCATGTTTATTTCCCCGGCCTGCCCTATTCCTCATTCACAAATCCTTATGTATTTTTTAGCTCACACTGTTAGAAAGCTTACTTTCCACTGTTTAGGTTGTATTACTTCATCAGGTATCTGAGCCATTAGAACTGTTTGCTTCCAAGATGATTCTTGAGGAAGTTTATTGTCATGTAGTTGGTCAGAGGTGAGTTTATTTAAATCTTGTCCCATAAGAAAAATTTCTGCAAGGGTTTCTCTAAGCAGGTTACTGTGACCATGTGAAAATAATGTCTTCATGTAAGCAATATTATTTTAAGCTTTCTTTCCTTTTTTTGTTATAAAATTACTAGTTGGCAGAAGACAAGATGTAAGCCAGCATCCAATAATTTCACCCTCACCACAGCAAGTTATGTACTAGGGTCTCCTGGATTCATGAGACTGAAAATCATTTTCCCCCTCTTAGCCCTGAGCTCCTAACATGAGGCAAGACAGTCACCTGGGGAAGCCTCTGCAGTTTTTGCTGACAACTGCATGCAATGGATAACAAATTCCTGCCATAACACCTATTGGGCTCCAAACAGACCCTTCATCTTTTCTCTTTTAAAGAATAATGGTGTTAACAAAGCACTACAAAGAAAGCTCATTCTGCTTAACGCTAGTCTTAGCAATACTGTGGATCCAAGGTGGAAAAAAATTTTCAGGGTCATCTTTTATGGTTTGAAAAAAAAGTTCTTCCTTATTGATTCATTTGCCAGTAGTAGAAATGGGTCTTGTTAGTTAAACATTTTGTTCTCTGTCTCCTGAACCCTTTCAGAAGTTATGATATTTAAAAAAAAAAGTGCACACATCCCTCAAATAAGGCTTTTTCTCCCTTTTGGAGACAGGGTCTCACTATGCAGTTCAGGCTGGCCTTGAGCTCACTTTGTAGCCCAGGCTGGTCTCAAACTTGTAATCATTCTCCTGCCTCAGCCTCCTGAGTGCTGGGATTACAGGCGTGAGCCGCCATGTCTGGCTTTTAAGGTTTCTTTTAGAACATTTTTGAAGCATTTGGATCTATACAACCTATATAGGGACTTCGCATTCATATGGAAAAAACAGTCTCCTGCCCCCCACCCCCACAGGAAGGCACACTGAATGGATGCAAGTAGCCAAAGCTGCAGGCTGGGGAGGAGGAGCAAAAGGGCACCATGCTTGGTTCACCTTTCTCCTGGCCTAAGTGGGCCTCTGCGCTGTGCGCTGGGACACTGGGGGGCACACTAGAGGTGGTCCATTGTGAGCGGAACAAGGGATGCTCATAGTACTCCTCATCGGAAGGGGAAGGGTCATCATCAGGCACAGACACCGAGATGGAGGGGGCTAGGAGTCTACGCCTCTCCCCGCTGCTGACAGGTTCGTGGCTGGGGAACCTGTGTAGAGGACCCACTTGATCCTCAGCCCCTTCATCTACAAACAGACACACAGGAAGAAACTGCAGGGTGAACTGGACGAGACAGACACCGGATCAGACGGACGAGACGAGACTAGACAAGACGCGGGAACAAGGACACGCAGGACAGTGGCAGCAGCACGAGAGGATGGAGGGAACGGGTCAGCACGACCAAGCAGATGAGGATGGGTGACGGGGATGCCGCATGCTTTGGGAGCCACTGCAGTAGCTGTCCTTTAGGAAAAGCTGCATTGATCTAAGTCAATCAAAAGTATCGACACCCTTGCTGCAAAACAGAAACGATCTGTACGTGCCTCTCAGGTGAGGCAGAGTGACCAAGGAAACACTGTAATAGAAACGAAGCATTACAAAACAAGCGCGTTCTCTGCAGGAAGTCCTTTTGAGAAGACCAACTCTTCTTATTCTTGTACCAATGCATTTGTAAGTTAAAGGAGGGGGGAAAAAGCTGTCAGGATATCATGCCTCTATGACTGCAAGGAAAAACAGTTCCTGTATGAAACACAACTTTAATTATCTAGGATGTACCAATAACATTCTGGTTAATTCAGTTTGAGTCAGTGACTTTAGCCAGTAATGTTAACTCTCAGTTGTCCTAAACAAAACCTACAAAGCAGAACATGGTCCCCACAGCTCTTTCATTGGATGCTAAGGCTGGTGCGATTCTGCAGCACTGCAGATGTACAGTGTACTATCTGAGGAAGCTTTTAAGGTCACGAAGTTGTTTTCCTACATTTGCTTCTCTTCTGAAAGCCCAATGAAGATACTATTAGCCCTCCCAGAGCTGGCTCGGTTTGATGGGATCGGCATGGGGTCTTATTTATACCACTGACTCCTGTCTGCTCCTTGGGTTTGAAATCTTACTGCACATTTCTTATTCAAACTGCTTCCATTTCTGTCCTTTTGTGTGTCTTGGCATAGAAGTCTGACTTATCTGAACAAAATTCCTCAAACTTACAATTGTAGACCAGTCTGTTTAGCAGGTAGACTTGGTAGAATTCGATGAGGTGGAAGGACTGTGAGAATGAGAATTGGGGGGTTAGGATTTGGCTTGGACACTGTTCATGGGGGCGTTTTACTCTTTTTGCTAATCACTAAACCTAGAAATGTGTTTAAAATTTTACAGCGCTTGATATAATTTTTACTTCTCTAGGGATCAAAGTGACAAAATTATAGCATTAGTTTGCAAATTCAGTGCGTTTCTTAGGACAGGAAATTACTTTCAGCCCCAAGTGCTGACGACCGGAAGTAAGTCTGAAATCATAAGGATACTAAAAATAATGCTCTGTGGATGGATTGCTTTTAATCTTTTAAGCATGTTATTTACTGATTATTCCACGGAAGTTGCTTCGGGATGGATGCTCAGAATTTTCTCAGCCATTGTACTTATTATATCACGGGCTAGCAGATGCCTAAAATAATGTTGGATATTCTTAGTTCAACCCAGCTCAGTCTCTCAGCTGAGGAGGTAATTGCCCAGATCTGGTCTCCAACACTGACTGAAGCATGGCCCTCAGCTGGCATGGATCCCAGCTGCTTCTTTCCACCACAGCTCCCTGAGACTAGCAACTTCCCCTCTATGTAAGTTACTGTAAATAATTTGGGTATGTTCAATAGATTGCACAGGGATGCAAGAAGTGGAAAAGGGGTATTTGCCTCTCTGCTTTTTGGGGGGAAGGGTGTAGAGAAGACTATAGTATAAAACCAAAGAGCTGAAAACAGCTGTCAGCTGGAGGACATCCTCAGAAGATGTTTTCAAGCTTCCGAAGATTTTGGCTCCCTCTTTCTTGTCATTGTTGCTCTTTTTTATAAGTTCTCAAACGTAAAAGCAGCCCACAGCTTCGCTTCAGATCTGTAACATCTCAAAAGAGGCAGTGTTTTCTATTCTGAGGACTTTCACTGTAACCAGTCAACAACAGAATTTTAAAGGCCATAGTGGAAAAGTAGCTTCGTTTTGTATTTTCTAGGCCATGAGCCAAGACTAGTTTCGGAGGAGTGTCTGGCGAAGGCCAGTTGTTTCCTGGTTTTGTCTGCTATCTGCACTCCAAATCTCTGTCTAGGACCTGTGAATGAAATCCATCCCCCATACAAGCTCCAGAGATAAGTGAACTACGCTGAAGAAGCTAATTCTCAGCATACGCTTAGTTCCAGTGCTAAGGACTGAAGACATTAGGTTCTCATTTGCTTTGAATGAGAACATGGTAGATGCTGCTGGGTCACTCCCAGGAGAGGGGGATGCATAATAATTAAAAATAATTGGAATATTTATTTTGGGGGTGGTTTTAGAAAAAGGCCATTTTCAGAGTAGTTTGTAATAAGGAACTCCCATTTGAAGATAATTTACTCCCATAATCCCACAGTAAGGAACCTGACAAGAGGCGGAATCAGGGATGTAATACAATTATGGGTTGTAGGATTTAGATTTGGACTGGAATTGTGGGTAAATCACTTGTCCAGGCACAAGCCACCTCAGTAGACATGAGTATAAGCTATCTTTGTGCATTGCTAGGAAGATTAAATGAGAAGATATTTGTGAAAGCTCCAAACCCAGTGTTTGACTCAAACATGTTAGCACCTTCTGTGTACCTAGACACTTTTCAAGTACTTCTGCTCTTTCCCTTTATTGGACACATCAAAGTTGGGCTCAAGAGAGTTGGAAAAATTGAATTCATTTTTAAACATTAGTTTTGCTGTTTAACTTAATGACTGATTGCATTCAGCCTTTTACTTTAAGTAGGTATGGTTCTGAGCCTCTGTTATTGCCACAACATATTCAATATCATTTAATAATATTACATATAAAAAGGTCAATTATACAAAAGTCTTTTTGCATAATTATCTTCAAAACTGAAGCATATCTGGATCAATGGAGGAATAAATATCCTCTAGCTTGCTTTATTCAAACTTTTTCTTTTTTAAGAAGCATTTGAATATTTATATTGGGTTAAAGTAAGTATTGCTACTTCAGGAAGATCCAGTTGGTCAGCCCCAGGGTGCAAAGAAGTAGTCACCTTTACGAGTGATTATGCTTCCTAAAGGATCAGAGACCCTGATTTCTGCTTGCTGGGACTTCACCTCCTGTGTCAGCAGCAGATGGCTGAAGGCGGCTGGCCCCTGCCACGTGGCTCTTCTCCATCTCTAAGCCCTTTCCATCCTGCAAGCTTTTGCCTTAGGATGTCTGAGTGTTCTGACCATGCTGCTCCAGAATGACACAGAGGGAAACTGGCTTTAGTGTAGCAATTACTATCGCTACATCTGTGACACAGAACACCACTCTAGAACTCTGGAGCAAACTCAGAGGGCAGCGGAGTTCCTGTTTTCAGTTCCTCTGTTTTCAGGTGATCCCACTGTACTTTCACAGGCTTTCAAATTCTAAGAGCTCTGTTGAAATGGCAGTTATTAAAACTGGGTCAGAAAGTAAAAGGTGGTAAACTGGAAAATATCATAACTAGTGTTGGAAAACTATACCATGGTTTCCTTTCTAAGTGTGTTAGTTGTTAATTTTTTTCATCAAACACCCTTGTACATGTTCCCCAAAATAACCACATATCCGGGGAATTATCACTGTTACATTAATTAAAATTAATGAATATTTATAAATTATGGTAATGAATGTTAAATTTTTTGGTCACTGAAACTTCTTGAACTAAACTTTACTTTTTCATTTTAAAGAAAAATATAGATAAAATGGTACGAAATTTCAAAGCAAGACTGCAGGAGAGTAACAGTGGTTAGTACTTCACATATTGTTGTCTTCAAAGTAGTTGCTCATATTACAAAATACAGGCATGAAAAATTGATCAAACTATGTTATATTCTGTGGGAGCTTTCGGCCTTTCCCTTTGGGAAAGAACAGCTTTAAAAATGTTTGATAGTTAATAAAAAGTTAATGTATCCCCAAAGTCACTGAATGCTCAATTTAATCCAAGAGCTCTTTTCCTTTTGTACAAAAGGATCAGACCGTAGAAGCTGCTTGAAAGGTATGTCAAAGAAGAAAAAACAGTCCCCTCACGAAGCCAAGGAACTCACCTCATCCCTTCCTAGCACACCTGCTGTAAGCAGGACATTCAAAGAAATTGCAACGGATCTTGACAGACTAGTAAGATTAAAGATTGAATAGTTCAAAGGTGTGATTGTTCATTAATTTATTTTCTGACAAAATTAGACTTGAAAGTAAAACTTATTATTTGCTGTACATAATTGGGATTTAAAATAAACAAGAGGTAATGTTTTGTCTAGACCTCATTTCTTTAACATATTTAGCGCGAGCATGTTACTTGGTGTTTAATGAGGGAAATTTTATAAAATATATACTTGTATCACATAACTCAAAAAATGGTTATACCTTCAAAAGTAAATCATCAGGGCTTTATATAGTTTATTGCTTTTCTAAAAAAAATAAGCCTCTAAAATAACTGAATTACTTTCAGTGATAACTAAGTTGGCACTTTCTCTAAGCATGTGGAAACCACTTGGGGTAAGCAATACTGAAATGTAAAGGAACAGTTTACAGTGACACATAAGTGACCAAAGTGTGAAACTGATTCCATATTTTATTTATCTTTTCATTATATCAGCCTTGTTACCCTGCTGAAAGCAGGCTGGGTGGATTCCCAGATGGATGGCAAGGCTCACCTTCCTTTTCGGTTGGAGCACCCATTAGGAAGTAAGAGCCGGTGACTTGGTCTCCGGAATACTTTGGAAAGAGGCCAGCTGTGTGGACGTCAGCTCCCTCTCTGGGTTAAGAGGATTCCCTGACGCTTGCATGGCTTTGAGCAGGGGCTCAGATACGCTGTCAGTGGCCTGGGGCGGGACAACTGTCACTTAGGGATGCCTGCTGCACTGGGGCTGCAATGCAGGCCCACGACCCAGCTGGCCGCTGGTACCTCCCTTTCCTGTGGTCCGCCAGCCCCTGCCTCACTACCCATTCACATGTCCCTCCTTGCTGCTCATCTGAGAAGCTTCACCTCCTGGCCCCTCTCCCTAAATCCCCCTTTCCTCCATCTGTGCTCGGCCAACTCTTCCTCGCTTCACCCATCTAATCAAAGCTATTCTGTCTTAGGGCTTCTTGATCTTTGCCTTCCTAGGGCTCATTCAATTTGAAGTTATTTGAAAGCTTATTTACTGGACTTCCCTTCTTCACTGGACCATGTGCTTCTTAAAATCAAGGTTCAGAGCCAGGAGTGATGGTGCATGCTTGTAATCCCAGCACTCGGGAGGCTGAGGCAGGAGGTTTGCTGTGAGTTTGAGATCAGCCTGGGCTACAAACTAAGTTCAAGCCCAGCTTGAACTGCAGACAGAGACCTTGTCTCAAGAAAAAAAAAAAGAAAAGAAAATCTGTGTTCAGGCCCGCTTTGTCCCTTAGCACATACTGAGAGATTAATAGTCAGTGGCTGTTATGCACTTACTATCATTCCTAATGTTTTTCCTCAGAATAATTTTATTCGTTTAACATTATTTCAGGAGTTAAATAAGGAAAAAAGTTTCAATTTCAAAAATGCAAAACTTGGTAAAAATGTGTAAATTATAAATTATAATGGACTTCATTATATGTTGTTCAGTTATTTAGATTTTTGTTTTTAGCAAAGTGGGGAATATTTTAAAAGAACATGACTGCTAATTATAAAAAGATGAGTCTTCTGAGACAAAAGGTATTCAGTTTTTTAATGCAATAAAGTGAACTCTAAAGTGATGCCAAGATGAAAAGCAAATGAAGCTGTGAATAAATAGTTTTAAAGTTCTGGTTTCGGTGTGGGAAGAGCACGGTACAAAAAGGCCACTACTGTTCCTCTGACTTAGGTCTGTTCACTTATGCATCGTTCAGAGTTCCCAGAAAAGTCAGGAGAGAGCCCGTGCTCAGTTGCTATCTCAACATAATTTAGTTCAGTGCTTTTCATCTGAGCTTGTGAATGGGTATCCTTCAAAAGCACCCCTCTGTTTTATCAGTGAGAACTGCCAAGCTGACACAGCATTCCACATGGAGGAAGGGCATGAATATATTCATGGCAATAACAGGTCTCAGCAGGAAAGGAGCCCTGCTCTCAGCTCTCTGTTCACTGCCCTCAATATCACATTCCTGCATTAACTGCTTCATTTATTCATTAATATTTATTGAGAGTTTGCTGTGGATCTGGCCCTGGGGAGGTTCTTGGCGATGTAATGGTAAGCAAAACAGGGACGATTCCTGATGTTTCCATAAGCAAGTGTTGACTTCGTCAATAAATATGACTCCTGCTATCACAGGGGTGACACTTTTTATTTGTGTTCAGTCATCTATAAGATAAGTAACTTCTCTGTCAAATACTATATTAAGTAAACTGTTTCTCTATGGTTGTTCTGGCAATTTAGAGATAAAATTATCCTTTCCTTTATCCAGTAGCTTTTCCTACTTTTCTTTACCATATTCTTTTGATTTTTACAGCAATAAAATGATTAGATACTTAAGAACATCATTTCTTCAGTGTCTGAAACAGTTCCAAAGCTGAATGACGTCTGGCCAATACTGGAGTGGGTGGCCCTTGGCTCGATGTTTATTATTTACCCTTTTAAAGAAGACAAACCCTGCAGGGTCCAGCAGGACTTACCTTCCTCCAAGGGGACAGTCAGTTCTGAGGCTGGCGAGGGGGGTGGAGAGGGAGGCAGGTTAGCTGTCTCTTCAGCTGCTACGGATCAAGCAATGGAGAAATGAGATAACCACGGTTAATCCTGTCAGAACAGTGGCGCTACAGAGCAGTTTTCCATCTGTAAAGCGGTCCCTCTAGGAAATTCAGGGAAAGATTCAATGATAACCTGCCTCTAACTATGTTTAGCCCCATTATCTGGTTCACATATTTAATAACCTAAAAAGATAAGCATTTCATACTTTTCAAAAATAATTGTCTTTCCCATAAAAATGAAATAGATGTTAAAATTCTATCATTCATCTCATTAATTTCCACCTACTTGCTCAATTAATAATATAGTTGATTTAGTCATGCTATACCACATTAAAAACGCTTACAGGCAGGCATTTAATTTGGATTAGGCTAGTCTTAATGAAAAAAAAAACTTAAAAAGTTTTGTTGTCCAAATGGTTTATCTGGAAATAAATGTTACTTTGGTCATTGGTAGTTATTTTAGCCGCGATCTTTTTAAAATTACATTTTGCTCACGGAGTCTAACACCCAAACCATCTTCTGTAGGTATTCTCAGAAAATGAAGCTGCATGGCCTGGGGCAACTTTCAGACAGAAACCAGGTACTGGTGGGAGCCGTGCACCCGAGGGAGGACAGAGAGAAAGCTCTAGAAGATGTAAACCATCCACAGGGAACGCTACCACTGTCTCCTCAGGACACGGACTCTTGTTAGGACCCCGGATAGGAGGGCAGGAAATTTCTAAAGGAACGATTTTTCACCTAAAGATCACCCACATTTCAGTTTTATAAATGTTAGTAGAAACAATTTTTGGGTGATAGATAACTTTTTAATTTTCCTGACCCTGTGGGTTTTACATAGCTTATTTCAAGATGTCAAAACTTTAAAAAATGAGTTTTATTTCAAAGAAGTAAGCAACAGACTGAAGAGGAATGCTTTAGATGAGATACACTTCCCCTCTCTGTTTTAAGAGCGAAACAGTCCTTGATAAAGTACTCAGAGGATACTGTGCATATTTGGTATTTTGGGTGAGCAAAATATTTCTAGTCCCTACATTTTAGTGTAGTCTTGAAGGAGTACTGATAAGAAAATCAGATGTTAAGGACACATTAGATTACAAGGGAAAAATGGGTATATACTCTTTTTTAGGCTTAGAAGCCATGCCTTTCTACAGATCAGGTCTACGCACCTGTGAAGTACATACATATGTTGAACCTAAGAGTGTCTTTCCTTACATGTCTTCATGTATGTACATACGTGTCTGCTAATCTATTTCTTTTTCTATCTATGAATGAATGGCGGGGAGGGTAGCAAGCCTTAGCTGAGTGTTTGCTGCATGGCAGGCACCGTGTCCCTGGTCTGTCCCTGGAGGGCGTCTGACTTGTGACCCAGGGAAAAAGAAGGCACATGGTCAGTACTTCCTGCGTGACAGGGTCACTGAGGATCCTAACAAAGCTCTGGCCCCAGGTTTTGCATAGCCAGTTTAAGAAGACAGAAACGAGACTGTGGTATGGTTAATCACTTAATGAAACCCACAAAGGGAAATAACCATCTCCATCCAGAAATTTCTGTACATTTTCCTTATGTGTTTGTGTCCATGCAAGCCCCTAAAGGTCTAGAAAGGGACAAATTATAGGTTACTTGGGGGAACATCTAATATCAGTTTATTGCTCTAAAAACTACCAAAATCCCAGGATGAGCCCATGGAGGAGGATAGGACCAGGTCCCGGGGCATCTCGCTAGATCACCTAGGAGCATCACACCACAGACACTGCGCGAGTCTTAGGCTGTCTCCTCCCAGGAAGGCGCAGCAGACCCACCCAGACCGGAGGCTCTTCGCCATTTACCTAAAGGCAGCCCTGTGGGTTGGTCTTTGTGCTGAGCTTCTTTCTCCTGTTCGCCTTTCAGGACAGCGACAGCCTCGGCTGTGACTACTTGAACTATCCGCGCAGACACCTCCTCTGGAACAAACAGTAACAGAAGAAACCGCAGTTAGAAACTGGAAACAGGTGCTAAGAGGAAAGGGTGCCAAACAGCAGGACGGATCACAGCTTCCTCCTGCTGTCTGCTCACAGTACAATACGGTTTTTCAAATTGTAGTTAAAATGCACACACACACATGCACACACACACACACACACACACACACACACAGGCACACAGACAGACAGACAGACAGACAGACAGACAGACAGACAGAAGAAGATGCCTGAGAAGAGAGAGAATTGGCACTAAACGTGTATGGCATTTTATTTTTCAAAGTTATTTACATAAATGGAAATAATTGAATTTCTTTATGCCTAGCGAAACTAATTCAAAGAGAAAAGGGAGGATTCGTTTTGGATTTACTGAAAGCATGTTTATAGTCTGCTTACACTGGCCTAACAGCATCGTTCGAGGAAGTTACTGTGCTCATTTGTAGAAACATGATTAAAAACCTGAAGATGCCGCAAAAATTTTATCTGTGATTAAAAGGATCGTGAATAAGATTATGAAAACTTGGGATGGTGCCATTTCAAGGAAATACAATGGCATATCAGATGGTCTCTTCCTAAATAAATACTTCTTTTATAGGCAGTAGATGTTTTAAAGATTTTTAAGGTCCTATGGCATAAACTCACAGTAGTTCTACTAAGAACCAGAATGTTCATCACTAATATCATCAGTCAATGAGTTGCTAAAAGAACTAGTGTGGGGCTGGAAATGCTTTTGAAAGGTCAAGATATTAGAATAAATTCTTTGTTGAAATCTTATTATTACCTATTGTTACGGCTTGTCTCTTCGAAGCCTCCTGGGGTCACAGGTGGGGCTTTTTGGAGGTGGCTGATCCTAGGGTATGTGGCTGGGAAGAAGGAAGTGATGTTGGGATGGATTCACAGTGCACTGATGCTAGGATTAAGGGCGTGAGAGCTGTGCACAGCCCGGATACAGTGTAGTGACAGCAAGAGTCTGCCGCTTGCCACTTGCTGCCTCCTACCTCCCTGCTTTGCCATGAACCATTTTCCCCTGCGATGCCCCTGTGCCCCTCCTCCATGCTACTGCCTTGGAGCAGCGACTGCCAGCTAGGAACTGAGACCTCTGCAAGTTGTGAGCTACAATAAACCTTTCCTCCCTGAACTTTGGGTGTTAGATATTTTGCCTTAGCAGTGAGAAAAGTAGCTTAGACACCCATGATCCAAATTTGCATATTCATAAGCACGTTTGCAGATTTCTATTTTTTTTTAACCTAATTTCGATTTGTCGCCTCTGGAGAGTCTTTTTCACACCAACCAGGGTGACAGAAAGTACAGTGAACCTGCTAGGCTTTTGGGACTAGGAATGCAGTTGGATAGAATTTTTGCGACTTTTAAAAGCTAGATTACCAGACTGAGTAAGTTAGCCATTTTGTTTAACCTCCTTACTTTTTTTTAGACACTTGACCATGCATAGTCTTAGGGACAAACTGTGAAGACAGAGCAGGTATTAACGGCAGAAGCAATATTTTAAAAGTACGAAAGTGCTCACTGTGTCTTGAATGCTCTGCTAAGTTGCTTGTCCTCGTCGTTTTAATGAATTATTTACTATTACTGCTCCCATTTTACAGATGAGAAAACTGTGGACAAGTTGTGTTACACTGGAGAAGAAGAAATTTTATTTCTAAGACAGTTTCTATTTTGGGGGTACTTTTGATTTTAGTATTTGAGGAGATATTTTCAGTTATTCCAGGTAAATAACGTTAGCAGTCACCACAGCACTGCAAGGAAGATGAGCTGGTAGGCTACTCAGTGAAGCAACTGCAGAGGAGGAGAAGGGCTGTGGGTGGTCCCGAGGGCGGCATGCAGGGTGGCATCCTCTGAACGACCCAGGAAGCACGGGCTCCTCAGGTGACATTTCCAGAGGGAGTGAATACTATCGAAAAGGCTACACCGCAACCGGGGACAAAGCTCAGTGACACACAGCCTGCCTGGCAAGCACAAGTTCCCGAGTTCGATTCTTAGTACCAGAAAAAACAATAAAACAGGCTACAGAAGTGGGGGACTCTGAGCTGAGGCAAGCAACCAGGAGGACAGAGAAGAGGGGCAAGAAAGGGTAGCGGGGTGGTGGGCATGATGCAAGTGTTCTATGCATACATGAGGGCGCACAAGTGAAACTCATTCTGTACAGTGAGTGCGCACTAAAAAGCCAGTGAGTTGAGTGGCTACAGAAAACTAACTTTTAAAAGCAGCCCTTAGACTTCTAAATTGCTTAATGCTATTACCAAAAAGAATGATTTGGAGTTTTGAGAATTGTTACACATAATCATTTTCAATGCAATGAAGTGGCTTCTTCCACAGCCCAGTGTTTTACAGGAAGCTGGGAGTGGTGAGGGGCAGAGCAAGCACAGGAGCCCTGGGGCACACACAGGAACCGCCGTCCTTGGGGTCATTCCTGCACCCGCCCTGCAGCACTTACACAGGGCTGTACCCAAGGCTCATCTCCACCACTGTGCTAAGTTCCGCTGTCAGGACCGCTCTGTACTATGTTGGAGCCTGATTCAGATGAGATGCCTAACAACTTTTGAAGGGAAGAAAAGTCAACTTGAAAATTTATTCACAATATTTACGCATCAGAACTCACACTTATTATGTTTACTACCTGTAAGTCTCCAAACTCATTTACTGTATTACCATTTGAGAACTTGATATATTTCAGAAGAGTATTTTTTAGGGATTAAGATACCTTATACAACTCAAAGATTTGTTTTTTAAGACTATGAAGATAGTAAAAATAATACAGGAATCTGTTGGTTCATATGAACACATTATAACTGAACAAAGTTACATGATTTCAGTCTCTGTAATTTCAGTCTTTAGTTCGTTCTGACATCATCAAGAAGTATTTTAAATGTTGAGGAATAGTATAAAAGAAGAAATACATAAAAGACGCATTTGTACAGGCCAAATAGCACCATGGAAGGCTGTATAAATGGACTTTTAAAAACAGCTTGAAAACAGACAAGTGAAAGGAAGAATTACATTGTATTTATATCTATTAGTATAGGCAAATCCAATTTAAACAAAATGTAGAGTTCCTGCCAGTTATCACATTTAAGTTGTGAGAACTAAATTAGCTTCAGCAGAGTAATCCTGCTTATTTTAGGTGGATAATTGCATGAAATTTTGATTTTATTTTTTGTCTAAAAGAAAACTAACATATTTTAGGTTTATAATTTAAGAAGAACTTTTAAATAAGTTAATTTTATGTTTGTACATGTTTAAGCAAAATTGTCAGAAAGTAATTTAACCCAATCTTGGGAGATTTGGTAAATTTTTTTCCTTAAAAGAATTCAGCAGATTTTGAGAAATGATTATTTTAAGACTAATCTAACAGGCTGGTTGTGAGGTTAGTTCATAGTGACATTAACATTTTGTGTCCTTTAGAAGAATGATATTGCTAAATCTTTTCAAATAGGAAATACTACATTCTCCAATAAATATTGCACAGTGGATTCAGGGAAACAGCATATGAACGCTCTGTGGGTTTAAACCGCTCTGTCTATTTAAGGCTGCTCTAAGCAAAAGCTACCATTTTCCTTAGAGAATGACAAAGAGCCTTCTCCGCATCACCCATCTTGATAGTTTGATTCCTGGGACATGAGAAATTCATTCACGATTTGGGCAAATTCAGGGAAGGTTAAAGGAGAACGTGCCAAACAAACAATGAGAAGCGAAGGTGGTAACAGGATCTGACCTAGAAGAATAAGAATGCAGGTTGGGGATCTAGCTCAGTGGCAGTGTTTACTCATCTCTAGCCCTGGACACAAAAACAAATACCATAATTACATTTGCGAAATATAAAATCTTCATTCTTCCTACGCAGATCAGATCAGGTAAATGTTTCCTTCGCCATCTACCCATTCATGTCTCCATCCAACCATCTAACCTTTATGTACAGAGGTGATCACTGACTTCTTAGGGTGAATTAGAAGAAGGGGTGTACACTTTAACCCAGAGCAAGTACTCGGCCATTGCTACTTTCTAGCATTTCATCTAGGAAATTTACTTAAACTCATGGCGCCTCAAGCATCACTCATACAACAGAACTCGTAAGAGTGTAGCACTGCATTTGTCTTTCAGCGCCCTACAGTACTGTACTGACTCAGTTAACTGATTGGACAGTGGACTGGGCACAGCAAGGAGCTCAAACAAAAGGAAGACTTTCAGATAGCTCCTCATCAAGCCGTGCTTTAATTTTGCCCTGGTCATGTGTTCTTCTGGACTTTCTATCTTTCCATTTCTACTTTGAAGAAGGAGCAACAGTGTCCAGGCCAGCGAGGCTGTTGTTTTTTGACCATCTGACTGTACTGATGGCCAAGCGAAGTATTTTCTCCCAAAACAAAGCTAGAGAGAGAAGGAAATACTGTCTTTGTTTTCTCTTTTCTGGCTTCATACCACTTCCTCGGCTGTGTAGGTTCTGGGGTACCATCTGCTCAAGATTCTTACCAGCGTGTCTCACTTCGGGACTATCTTCTTGATGGTCCCTAGAAGGCCTGAGAACTCTGTCAACTACAGGAAAGTCAGCACCAGGAAGAATACTCTGGGAGATAAGATATTAGAGGATGTTTTAATTGTTCATTGCATACTTGATCGGCCTTCTGTCCTCTTTTCTATTTTAATTTTTTTATTTTCACTTCCACACACAAAGTTGTGTGATAACCAGGACTTAGTTATCGAGATGATTAGGGATGACTCTATGTTATATGTAATTTTGGGAATTATTCATTATAAATAATTGAAAATTAACATTGAATTTCATAGCTAAAAACATAACATTGCTTATTCCAATCTGGCATTTTGAAAGCCTCAATGAACTTCTAAAATATTTTTGAAATGAACAGCTTTTGGTTTACATTAGAAGTGATCTTAAACAGGGCGTGTAATATTTTTATTGCCTCTTTTGTTAATGTAGGAATTTTGATTACTACCTATAGTTTTTGTATTGT